GCTATTTAATTAAGAGGTTTCAGTACTTAGAAAAACATACAAATTAAAAATAATCCGTTAACAACATATACAGTACAAGATGATCCCCACGGATCATCTCGTACACCAAAACCGTAATCATCTTGCTCCAATTAACTTATTTTTATTTTTTGTTCGGTAAAATAACCTATATACTGTCTACTGTTACCACGCCATTATAAAAGTAAATAGAGCATTATACAAAGCCACCAACACAAAAATCTTAGCAATTGATTGCTTAGAATGGACGTTCCCTAAGCTTTTAATCAACTTTACCTTATATCAAACTCACACAATTTTTATTTTTTTCCACAAAAATGAACTCGTCACTCACATCGCCATTACGAATTGACTGATGAGAGGCCTACTCTCCAATCCCCGGGACACCGACATTATTATATAAATCAACAATTTACAATGTTCATCTAGTAATCACGAGACCCATTTAATTTTTAAATATTGAATTAAACGTTACACTTTTGTTTTCGTTAAGCTGTTTGCCTAATTTAGCAATCTTATCCAATATTAAAAATGGTTATTTTCTTTTAAAAGTTTTCATAGCCGCATTAATAAAAAACTGAAAGATCCATTGTGTACCATTTCAAAAGATGTTACTTTCAAAGCGAAAATAAAATATAATTTTATACCTTTTTGTTTACCAAAATAAAAGGAGTTGGAGTCGGAATAGAAATATTGTATATTAAAATACACTTTTTTTTCGGCGACGTGTGCTATCTATACCAATAATTATATCGTAATTTAATTTAGCACGTTATTTTTCGTTATGTAATCATTGCTCTCCAACATACGTTCCTTTTCTTCGAAATTGGATATGAGATGCAATTTTATGCATCATCTAAACTTCTAAACTATTTGTCGTAGACATTCGATAATTAGATCGTCAAGTAGAGAAAAAAAGAACTTAATAAGTACATGACACTAACTCAAAAATGGAATATAATGAGTTACGATGTTTGGTCCTAGGGGTGACGAAAAAGACGCCGCGAGACACAATGCACCTAGGTGAATTAATTCAGGTGAATTAAGTTAACGCACCGAAATTTAAGACTAAGATGCAACATATTTAAAATAATGATTTTTTAAGTACCTAATTGTGAGAGTTGTGAAATATTAACAGTAAAATAATACCTGAATAAGATCCTAATAATTTTATTCTGGTATTATTTTACGAGATATGGCCGCTCACAAAGGAATACATGCACAAAATCGGAGTAGCACAAAGGGCAATGGAGCGCACCATGCTCGGCATTTCCTTCATCGACCGCATACCCAACGTCGAGATACGACATCGAACTTGTTCGCCGTAGACGTCGATATGCGGATCGCAAGCCTAAAATGGACACGTTGCTAGACAGGATGACGACCGAAGGACCAAGGCGGTTACTGAGTGAGAGGGACTTGTCTATTCTAAAGACATGTACAAATATTCAAGGTTTTGCAGATGCTCATTACGCTCGAAACATAGTGGACTGAAGGTCACACTCCGGCAATGTATTTAAGATGGTAAATGGAGTCATCTCTAAGTAGAGCACTATGCAAAAATATACAGCCTAATCGTCAGCTGAAGCTGAGTACATCCGTTAATCAGAAGCTACAAAAGAAGTCATATTTCACAACGATTTCTGAACGAAATCACGAGCAAGGAGGAGTTGCCTATCACGATGCATACAGGTAGTCAATCTGCTAGTATTTAGAAACCAACTGCATGGTTGCTGATGCTTTAACGAAAGTAGTGTTAAAGGGCAAGTATGAGTTTTGCCGTAGAGAAATGGGTGTGTACTGAGTGTTCATAACTGAGAAGGTTTTTTGATAGTATAAGGAAAACCAGGTGTAAATAATTGAGGAAGAGTATCAGAGAGTATATACTAGCCGACGTGAAATTGAGGGTTATTCTTTTTCAAATTTACGTTGTTCAAGGCCAGATATAGCACATGCCATAATCTTTATGAGTCACTTCTGCAATTGTTATGATGAAGTGCACTGGATCGCAGCTAAACGGATCTTGAGATACTTAAAGGGTACCAAGAGCATGGGACTTATCCCATGAGATCTTTGTTAAAATATTAAAATCAGATTTCTCGTTTATTGATAGACCAAGAGGCTATCATTTTGAAGCAACGTGATCGTATTTTTTTACCATTTTTCCCGACCAATTGTGAGCGATTGTCAAAGTAAGTGGGATCCAAACGAATAAATCTTTTTGATTATCATTGTTCATGCAATATTTAGTAAATTCTGGTTCCACTAATGCCCAATGATGCCTCAATCTCACGATAGGTCACATGCAGTATACGTTCATGCACAACATCAATGTTTTCCGGGATATCAACCGATTTTAGACGATCGATTCACAAAATTCATCTTTTGAGTGAACTACGGTCCCGATTGAATTATTAAAACCATCTCTTGATGTATCGACACCAGCTTTTAATGGAGCTTCATCGTGAAAAGTCGTATTGAGTAAAAAATAGTCGTACGAAAATCTTCACGACTTAAATCCATTTTTGGCCGACATTAAATTTTCTAATTAGTTTCTTCATCTTCTTATTCTTTTAAATACTATGGCTTCATCGAATCTAATAATTAGACAACACAAATAATGCTCGATGTCAAAATGTTTTGAATACGCTTGCTGCCAAAAATGTCAAACTATGCGATAGAGACTATGGCTCAATCTTGGATGGACAAAATAAAGGAAAGAGACTTGAACTAAGGGCTCAACACACACTGGCGCTGAGTCGCAGCGTTGCGTTGCGTCCTGTTTTTCAACAACGACGGATGGCGACACGCGTCGTCGCGATTCCATTTTTACATAACACAAATTTGTAACTTAATAATGGGAAAATAGAGATGAATATGCTATAGGCGAAAAACATGACGCGATGGAACGTTTCGACTCAGCGCCAGTGAGTTGTGTGAGTTGAGCCTTATAGGATGGAAAAAAATAAAGGAAAGAGAGTTGAAACCTGAGTCTTGTCTTTTTTCATCCTCTAAGCTGGCCGTCATTAGGGAAAATAAATAAAAGAAATCGCCGGATCGAGGATCGAACCACTAGGGTGTGAGATATCAAAATGTAAAAGACAATCCGTTGTAGCGAACAATAAATGAAAACTATATGTGTATAACATATAGGTATATAAAGCTACTCTTTCCGACTAACTGATAGAAATATAACACGTACTTCCCGGTATGGTGGAAAAAAGATATTTATACCGTTGTACGCGAATGGGCTCCAATAGCACAGAATCAAATTTAAGATGACCTGAATGTGGAAAATATAAAACAGTGATAAACGGCCTGTAAAAACTATAATATATGGAGGCAATGTTTGGACACTTTTATGAGGTACATAGGCAATTTCCGCTGGAAGTAAGAAATGTTCGAAATTCATATAAATGTGGCCGAAATACAAATTCCCTTCAAATTTCAAGGTCTTCTATAACGGAAACTTTTAGAGATAGGTAGGAGGTGCTCTAAGGAATGTCATAGCGGGTAACAGTAACCAACTGCCTGTGTAAAAAAATTCAAGAATAACTTGCTACGATCCGGCTGAAAATTGGCTTTGGGTCAAAAACTTGTTTCTGCTGCTGCTCAAAGAGACTTGCTCTGATGAAGACCGCTAGGAGTGCTTGATAATAATTTGTGATCAAAATTAGTTTTTCGCCATTTTTCAATGTGGCCGCCATACAAGCGTTTCTTAGCGGCAGATAAAAATTTGCTCTAATTCGACTGAAAATCGCATGTGGGGTTCTCAATCGGTGTTTAATAATAAATTGCAGTCAAAATTTACTTTTTGCCATTTTTCAATATGTCATAAGTGCCTAAGCCGTAGGCCGAGGGTCCAGCAGAGGGCGAAACCCGAAGCGTGCCCACGCCACCGTATATACGGAGTACGTATACGTATAGTAAACGGAGGCTCTATTACGAGTACAAGATTTCACAAATTGTTCAAAACGTAAGGCATACTTCCCAATCTATTGGAAATGAGATACTTATAGCGTTGTTGTATCTCGACCGTCTCTCTGTTAGATTGTTTTTTTTTTTGCTATGCCAAAGAGAAATATTAAGGGAAAAAATGCCAAACAATCACACCAAATATCTGGTTTCGAACTAAGTTATTTTCTGTACTATGAGTACCAGAGTAACGATAACTCTGAGGGTAATACCCAGAATACCCTGACCAGAACCAAATTAATAATGTTTGTTTCATAAATTGGCTCAAATCGGGAATCGAATCTGGAACCTCCTCATCAAGCGCCCATAGTAATAACCGCTGTGCCACCGAAGAGCATAAACACACCCCGTAATCTGAACCCAAACAAGTTCCGCAGGCCGAGCCCGACCCCACCGTAGGTGAGGTACAGGGCTCGTATACTTAAGTATAGTCTTTTCGTAGCTACAACGTCATAGGTGCAAAATCGGCTGCAATGGACCAGTGAAAGTAAATGCGTTCATAGTGGATAAAATATGTAATGACTTCTTGCAAATGCTACAAACAATTTGTACCTAATATTATTAAAAAAAACTTCATTGCAAAAATATGAAATCCATTCCACCTCTTGATTCATGATCACTTTTCTTTCCCTGTTTGGTTTTCTACTTTCTGACGTGACGGGAGTGACGTGAATACTTAGACTATGGAAACAGGAGTTCAGACGGCTAGGCAAAGAATGTCGGATATCGTATCGTCTAGCATCAGGATTTCTTATACAACCCTTCGCTAATTAATGGTTTTTTAAATAGTAATCATTCCTTTTGGATAACGTTTGTTACTAAGAGCAATAGGCTGTAACTATTATAGGTATTATAATTCTTAGGTTTCTTGGTTATTGAAATAATTGATTTATTGAGATGACAAATGAAGATGGCAACGACGTAGCCAAAGAAAAAGAAAAAATAAAATGTCATAAAAATTGTGGAAAAGTAAATTCAAGTAGGTACTGAATCTTCTGCAGCCACAGCAACGAAACAGAGAAGAATATGAGTCATTAAATAAATGGAATTAAAAAAATACACCTAGCAGTGTTAATTTGGTTTTGTGTTATTTAATAGATAAATAAAACACACAAAATGTTTGTCTTCAAGTATATGGCAGGACTGATGGATACGGTCACACAAGGTAAAAGTGCAACCTAATTGAAGATAAATAATAAGTTACGGGCAAAGTTCGCTGGGTGTAGATACAGAGCCTGTGGGAAATGTGCCGGAAAATAAGTTATTATTGGATTTTGCCCAGATTTTATTGTTGTAAATATTAAAATCTGGGCAAAGCAATATGCATTAAAATGTAAAATTGTAATTTTTTGCGTACTTTGTCCAACTTATCCGACCTGAAATCTGGTGACGTCACTGACTCTAATAAGACAAGTAACACTCAATTAGTTGTAGTAAAAGATAAAGATGAAATTCCTAACTGACAGGCATTATGAACAATGCCTAATACGTAACAGTTTGTATGCCGTGCAGATGAACATGCGTTGCAGCCTTACCCAGGTGGACGTCGAGTGGCCCACGTCCACCGGCGCATCCAACAACCACATCGAGAACCGAAGTACGAGGACGAAGAAGCACTACAACAAACCGAAACGCAAGAAAAAGAGCAAGATATCTTGGATGACGAAGAGGATATAGTCTCTTATGACATCTACGAAGGTGCATTCGAACCCACTTTATAAAGTGTCTTTAAAATGCAGCAAATGGAAGGTTCAGATCGTAAATCATGTCCTTGACCGCGTACCGCTGAAACAGATTCCGACAGAAAATAGATGAGCAGAAAGTTTACATGATAAAGTTTAAATGCATAACCATACTACAGATTATTATATATTAGATTGTGCATATTCATCATCTTCGAAATTATAGACTAGGCCCCAGATCCGACTACAACACGCTTTATTGGAATATATTAGTGAGCCAGCAGTTCACACGTTCAGACATCGTTCACTGCAGACAAGGCATATAGGCGGTACAGGATCTGGTTGCTTTCGTCTTATGCATCTTTTATTTTTATTTGTCTCGCACTCACGCTTAAATAGATCATACAGTGAAACATCGCTATTTTTTAAAACAAACCGTCTTGCAATACATGGCTTGCGGTTACGTCTCAGAGCAATCAAATCCTATAGTCTAGTTATTTATAAAGGGCGTTTCAGGACAAGCAATATTTACAAAATGTCCAAAATGCATAGACTTTTGTTTCAGCGCACAGCCCACACAAACCGTACTTAGCTCTTATCTTATTTTTAGAGGAGGAAGATTACGATCCTCATAAACATCGAAACGTGGAGAAACCTACAAGGTCAGTCATTTTATTAGGTTACAATTTTGTTATCTACTTGATTTATTTTTTATAGAAAAAGTTTATGTACATCAGCAGCCGTAGCATGGCGTTATATCCATAGATATAGAAAAAAAGGGGAGATATGGTATGGGGGCGTGGTTCGTGTCGCCTCGATACAGTCAAAATGACCATATCGAGGTGACACGCCTACAAACATCGCCACAGTGACATGGCGATCGTTGTACATACAAGATCTCTCGTAAAACGTGAAAATGCCAAGTTGTAGCGATACACCTTGTAAAAATTGGAGTAAAAACAAAAATTTTAAAACCAGTGAGATAACATTCCACCGGCTATTTGCATTTTTAGTTACTACTTCTATTATTAGTCAATGTTTTCTTTTTGTCTCCATAGAAATTTCTAGACTCAAATATAGTAATGTTCATTTATGAAGACTGATGTTTATCGACAATAAATTTTTACTGAAATGTTTGAATCTAATATATACTAATAATGTAATGTAATATAATGTTTGATCTTACTATAATTTTTGTAATTAAAGTCCCTAAAATATCGAAGCGAAAATCATTCACGTTAAATTGATTTCTTTTATTTTATTATTATTATTATTACTAAACATTTTATTTCGAGTAACTTTAACACAACTCATATTTCGGACAACCGTTTCAAATTCATATCAATTTGGATGTTGCTGTTGCTTGAAGAAAAATTTATATGATTTAGATGTTTAAATTCCATTATACTCGAAGATTAAGCGTAGAGTATTTTTAATTTTTAAGTTTTTCCAATGAGTTTAAAATAAAAGAAGGTTAGATTGAAGCTGCAGGAAAATCGAAAGATTGGTTTTCTTATTACTATTTCTGACTTTGTTTCAATTTCGATAGTAAATGCATTTAAAAAAGAAATAAAATAAAATCGGCTTTATTTTACATGTGCATGCAAAATAAATTAGAAACAATTATAGAAAATTACATAAATCCTTCATAAATTAAAAAAAACTTAATTTAATTTATTAAATTCATTGATGGTTTGAGTTTACTCTTGACAGTGACAGCTTCAGCAACCTGTGGTAACGTATAATGAAAAATTGACACTGGCGACGATCGCCATATATTTTATATTATTCTTATAAAACTGACACTGGTCCAAGCCTAGTGGCCGCCATTAAGAAAATAATAATAATAATTTATATTAATATATTAATTTAATAATACACCAGTACCAGTGTAGGTATAGTATGAAAAATGGAATATTTTTTTTAATATTAAAAACAGCCACATGGTTTCCAACTATCGATTAGGTAGGACCACATCCCTCGTTGAGTAGCGTCAGTTTAAGGTTAATAAGGTTAACAATTCGCGGAGCGGTATCCATCCGTGCCCGCCGGTGCTGCTAGACAGCGGTTTTATTTCAATACTTACGACCCTGCAAGTTTGTACGGGCATGTAGCTGGCGCGGTTGCGGGCACGAACGAAACGACCGCGAAGTTAGTGGGAGTTAATTGCAAGTGGTGCAAATAGAAAACTTACCCTGCGTGCGCCTGCACCACATTGCGCCTGAACCGACCGCCAAAGTGTGCGGGCGACGACGGCCGCCAAGCGCGTAGGTCATCGCGCGTCCTGCGCGGTTCTACTCGTACCCCGCCGCGGCAACCGCGAGCAACCATCACTACTACAGGCGTAAAACGCGCCGTGAAATGTGCTACTAATTTTACATACTTAACTGTTACATTCTACAGATGCCGCGGTCCCGCGGCAGACGCGAGTGAAAACCGCTCCGTGAGTTCTTAATGTAACGAAAAATGAGTTTCAGCGCCATGTAACGTGTAATAGTTAGCTATTATATACTAGTACTATTTTTACTAAAACGCCACCTGTTAGTGAATGGCTGAACCAGGACCAAAAAAATACTGAAATATTGTTATATAACTCTTATTCAAGTGACTGTAAGTTTAATTAAGTTAAATTTTAAAATTGTTTTACGTCGTTTTCACGTTTTAAGCCCTACCCAATCAGAATCTTTAAGTTATGGTAGTAGATAACAGAGCGTAAAGTTTGAATTGCACACAAGCTAAAAAGTGGCGACACCGGTACCCGATCTTACATAGCGTCATTGCATAGTTCCCCTTTTTTTCTATATCTATGGATATATCCTATGTGATGTATGATAAACCTCCCTTTGCATATTTATCGCAGTCGATAAAGCTATGTTGCCATTATTAAAATTCAATTGCATAATTATAAAATGCAAGTAATTAAGAAATTTAAAATGTAACATACAAATACCCACCATTTTGTTCCGTCGTTTTACAAAGATGCATTTAAAAGGATTCCAATTTTCGCGGTCTTGATAACGGCAAAGATACGCAATATCATTATCGTTATCCTTGTTATTCAAATGTATAGCCGTAATTCATAATCAAATATACAAAAGAACGATTTACACTTGTTCGGTGTCTTACCGATTTAGTAATCGCAATAAAAAAATAAAAAGTTAATAGTGGGAACATAGCTTTATCAACTGCGTTAAATGTATCACGGGGAGGTTAATAAATTTTATCATATATCCCAAGTGATATAATGCCCCAGCTGCAAGATTACACACATACATATGAGTAAATATTTTTATATTATAGATTATCGATTATAGTCTATTAAAAAGTTAACAAAGATAAACAATTTCAGTTACTTAGATACTATGGTGCATATGATTAAGGGCAGTTGTGGCGCAGGAGTCCTTGCCATGCCGGAGGCAGTGAAACGAGTAGGAATCGTTACCAGCATACTTTCCTTAATGTTTATCGGATTTTTTGCTGCCTATTGTATGCAATTATTGGTGAGTACTTTTAAATTATCTCTTAATTAGGATTCCGTACCTAAACATTAACGGTGACACCAAACACGATCATGTGGTTAAATAAAACCGGTATTTTGTAAGATGTTCATCAGCTCTGCCCTATATTATATAGGGCTGCCCTATATTATACATGTACTTTTATATATACATTTTTGTTGAAATTGAGCTTCAAAGGAATTAAATCTAATGCTCTGGCCACACAAAAGCCGCGCGTTGCAGTGTGGCAGGGTTCATATGAACTAAAAAACATTACATAAAAGTACATTAAAAAAATTCCAGCGCACAGAATGCTTCCGCAGCTACCTCTGTGTGGCCAGACCATAAAAATCGACTGAATAAATCAATGAGGTGCAAGGGTCTTCTAAGCACGTTTTAAAACTTTGTATTAACTGTTTTTTTTATTAATATTGCAAATATAATTTAACAACTTATTGATAAGCAATGGTCGGAATATGGTGTTAAACATTGTTTAAACTTAGGTCACTTAATACTGAAAATGCGTGGTGGTTCGAATTATGTGTCTGGAAGTATATTAGTTAATTACTTTTTCCAATTACAGATTAAGAAAATACCTAGTTTTACTGCATCATAGGATAAAGCTATCTACCTAGATAGCGGAAGTTGGATTATAAGAGTTATTCTAGTAGAGCGATAACTAGCTTTTCACTAAAGTAAACATTTTTCTAATAAGCTGCAAGCAATAGCTTGTTTTAACTACAATGCATTAACGCACACACTCATAGCCCCGTAATAGGCAAACTCAAAAACGTCGCGTGTGTCATGGACACACATGGACAACGACAAATTACACCCAACTCACGAGAGAAATATAATAATACGTAGGCCATACAAATATATCTCCCGGCCCGAGAATCGAATCTGGACCTCTGCATGGCAGACCAGAATGGTGATCGTTCGGCCACGGTGGCAGGTTAATTAATGGAGACACAAACTGTAATTGTTGAAAAACAAGTATTAAATAGCTCTTCTACTTGGTGAAAACATGCAGTCACTGTAAACTACCGAAATTATTAGTAGTTCTACAGAATAAATGGATACGATTGAATAAATATACTAGGTGTTGTAAGTAAAATGTATAGCATATCAGTAAGCAATATATTTTTAAAATTGCGAATAATTAGCAAACAATGAGAGAGAACTAAATAATTTCTCGAATTACCGCCACCATAACCTCGTATACAAAGTACTAAAGATGGTTTGGTTAAGACGCGCACCCCTACTTTTTGCATTCTTCACTGTTAAATTATTTTTCGACCCCACCACCACGTGATTTATTTTCATGTGCTCAGTGTTATAAATTGAAGCAATATTATTTGCACCGACGAATGTTATCTCTTGGAATGGCATATCCTTTCCTGATAGTCCAGTAACTATTGCTACTGTTTTGTTCAAATTAATATCTTGTTAATATTAGGGGTTAAAGTATGAAATTGCCGTTTTATTGCAATAGGTTCTTTGAATTTTCATAGAATCTTCATGGTTTGAGGTTTTCGAATGAAACTTCTTTCAAATGGTTTCTGTGATTTTTTTTTTAAATTTGAAACATTTGAATATCGACTTTCAATTGTTTTTGTTATTCAATTTAGATAAGAAAGATGGATACTGCGAAAATTCGAGTGATTTTTGAATACGAGTTCCGACGCGGAACTAACGCGGCAGAAACAGCCCGCAATATCAATGCTGCGTTTGGAGAGGGGTCTACTAATGAACGCACCGTGCGATTTTGGTTTAAACGCTTTCGTGATGGAAATTTCGACTTAAAGAACGAGTCACGAGGAAGACCGCCCACACAGGTGAATAACGATGAATTAAGAGAGATAGTGGAAACCGATCCTAGTCAAACTACCCAGGAATTAGCGGCATGGTTTAACGTTACCTTACCCACAGTATTGACTCACTTGCGTCAAATCAATAAAATAAAAAAATACGAAAAATGGGTGCCTCATGATTTGACTGATCTGCAGAAAGAAACGCGTGTTGAAACTTGCGTTGCCTTGTTGAACCGGTACAGAAATGAAGGAATATTGGATCGAATTGTAACATGTGATGAAAAGTGGATTCTTTATGATAACCGGAAAAGAAAAATGCAATGGCTGACCCCAGGTCAAATGCCACAACAGTGTCCTAAAGCAAAACTTACCAATAAAAAGGTAATGGTAACTGTTTGGTGGCCTCAGCATGGTGTTATTCACTATAGTTTTCTCCGATCTGGTCAAGCAATAACGGCAGATGTCTATTGTGCCGAACTCCGAACCATGTTGACAAAACTAGCAGTAAAACAGCCCCGACTCATGAATCGATCTTCACCATTATTGCTCCACGACAACGCGAGACCTCACACAGCACGAGAAACCATTTTGACCCTTCAGGAACTGCAGTTAGAAACCATTCGTCACCCTCCGTATTCACCAGACCTTGCTCCAACGGACTACCATTTTTTTCGTGATTTGGACAATTATCTACGTGACAAGAAGTTTTCTTCCCAAGAGGCAGTACAAAATGCTTTCACACAGTTTGTGCAGTCTAGATCGTCGGAGTTCTATCGCAAAGGCATTAATAACCTTCCCATTAGATGGCAGCAATGTATAGATAATAATGGCAACTATTTTGATTAAATAAATTTGTTAAAAATTTAAAAAATAAACAATTTAGATTTTCAGTACAAATCGGCAATTTCATACTTTAACCCCTATTACTTAGTTGAATTCAGGTCAAACGCTTTTTTTTAAATGTTCGTATACACTAAATGTTATTTGCCACTTTTGTGTCCGAAAATAGATCGACTCATCTTGGGAATGCAATCTCGTGTTTATGTCTCACAGAGTGACCGCGCGGTCTCTTAAATCATCTGACACCACACAATCACACGCAATGCGGTGTCGTAACGTAAAGTCGCTTACTTAGGGCTCGTTTCCACTATGTCGTGACGACAGATAGTCGTGCAGTTTATAGTGTCGTGACTTGTATATTTAAATGAAATTGTTAATATATAGTACAAACAAATTAACTGCCGTTCACTTTTTTGACGTTACGACGACAAACTGTCAAGACAATGGCAAGAGCTAAAACGACAGGCGTCTGACAATAAATGAAACATCGCGATAAAAATGTGACGACAGATAATGGCAGTTACTATTGTCGTCAAGTTTTATTTATCGTTGTCTGCAAGTGCTTGCTTCCTCTTCCGCCTTTTAAAAAAATATTACATTATTACAATTTAATTCTCATCCATTTCCATTTCACACGGGACCGAACACGCACTACTGACTCCCAAAAGAATTTATTTTTATCTTATTTAAACATTTACATAGATATGGGAATTATTTCAGGCCACATGACCCATATAATATATACCTTAAGGACTAACATACATATAATATAATATGACAATAAAATAAACTAAACAAGTAATCTACACGTCTAGTAGTCAAGGTAACCGGCCGCGGTGGATGGAAAAAAACAAAGGAAAGAAGCTGCCTTATCTATGGAATAAACGTCCCTACCTAAACCAAAAATGTCTACCACATATGGCGGATTTAGTGTTGTACCATAATCATAGATAAGTCAATATCGACATGCAAATGTATGGCTTGAATGTTGATGAAACTGTTTTTTATGTTTGCAAATTACAGTATGGTTTACTGTCATCAAAATATGGTTAATACTAGGCTATTATTACAAAGCAATTAATGAGCCATTTCAATCAAAATTAAATATAAAGTTGTTACTAATAAAGGAAACGATGCAATTGCATTATCATGTTATCTAGTTACATTTAAAGTTCCATTAAAATTTGACTTTTCAAAATGGCGCGAACAAACGAATATGGTATTTGATCCAATGTTTATGTTTGGCAGTACTATGATTTCCAACCATTCTTTCTTTCTTTTTTCACTTATAGGTAAATTTAAAAAATAATAATATGAAATAATAAAAACCTCGTAGTGAATTGTTGTAATAACAGAATATCGATAACATGTCTGCTTACAAGAATAACACTATCTCAAAATAATCGTTATCAACAATCATCAAAATATACTAACAAACAGGCAATCTAAAGTAACCAAAGCAAAATTCGGCAAGACTTATGAATAAACTACTTAAATGAGTTTAATTACATGAGATATTTCGGCTATTGTATGATTTATAGGCAAAAAATAACACGTGGCAGTGTAATGTAACATTCGGTTGATTTCCGCTTTTTCTACTGCCACACCCCTTAATGCTGCAGCGACGCATTTTTATCAATACTTAATTGTTCTCACTGTCAACATTTTTATCCATTTCATTACAATTCATGCGGATAATTCACGAAACATTTGGCCAAACATTGGTTTTGACATTTGATGTACTTCCCTTTGACAACCGGATACGGTTATCTTCTTCTTCTTTTAAATGTTATGGCTCCATCGAAATAATCAATGATTTTGCCAATGTCAAGTAAAAATAACTACGTACGGTAGTTTAATATTGTTATAAAAATTATACAATAAATGGCGATTTCGCCAATGTCCTGTGAAAATCTTCCGGATGTCAAAAGGGTACTCCAAAAATGTTAAATTGAGGACAGTTGGCATTTAAGATGACGTTACGTATTTTAAATTCCCGTGTTTGACATAAATCAATGTAGTGCTATCTCTTTTGGCTTATGACGGCACACAGTATTTAAACAAAGACAATAAAATATTTGTGTTTTCACCGTCTAAATGCATCATATACATATAACGTCTGATTTTTGTGTTATATAATTGAATATAACATGCTCTTTGGTTTCCATAGTCTAAGCGCGGAACCGCCAATATATGACACCCTACGGCCAAAACTCTTCCATCATGAAGGCCGACAGATGTTCGGTCGGCACTCTCACCACAAACGAATTAAAATTTACGTTGTGGCGGGACTCCAACCGCTCGACCCTCAAAGTGTATTTAAAGGCGACTGCTGCAGCAAACGATTCTGTTGTGCAAACGACAAGGCGGCTGCCGTGAAACGATAAATTGTCGTCACGATCTAATGGGAACAGCTATAGATATGACTGTCGTTCAACGATAAAAAAGTCCACGACACAGTCACGACAGATAGTTGTGATATGGGAACAGACTAGAAGCGAAAGTCGTCTAACGATAAATAAAGCACCCTTACGCACCGCAGCACTCCTCCCCGCTTCGTCTCTTGGCCGCTTGCCTGATGCGCATGCGTTCCGCTGCCGCGCACCGTTTCAACGCACCATGTAGCACGTAGTTCTAATTTATATATAGTAGAATGCAGCGTCATCGCTCCGGCGTCGTAGGAAACGCCGACGCGACACTGTGTGTTTCAGGAAAGGAATTCTATGCCGTCCATATGACGCGGGGGGTCCCCATCCCCCCGTGTCATATGGAACTATAAAAAAAAATCCAACTCTCGTTGCTCAATTTAAACTTGCACTTGGATAATTATTTATTTATTTTCTCATTTTAATAACTGCAAACCTGATTTGTTTTTAATATACTCATAGATAAATACCCAATACCGATTGTGTAAACGCCATCGGCAAGGATACATGGCTTACCCAGCGTCAATGAAGCAGTCTCTGCTAGAAGGACCCATTAAAACTCGATGGATAGCACCAATCGTATATTATTTTGTAGATGGAGTACTGATTTTGTGGCAATTGGGAATATGCACTGTATATTTTATTTTCGTAGCTGAAAACATAAAACAGGTAATATTGTATATATACATTATGTGTACTAGTTTAATTATTGTTAAAAATAAAACTGCTTCTAAAGAATTTTCCTTACGCATAATCTAAATTCATTGTAACGTACAGTCGTAAAGGAAACCTTAAATGACAATCCCCGATTAAGAATTTTTTCTCCTTTCTTTGTAATTGGGTAAATAGTTAAGTAATCACAAGTATGAATTCTCAAGCCTTTTCATAGATTATGGACTTCTACAGTATTGAGATGACGCTACGTGTTCACTTGACTAATGTACTGATTCCTGCCATACTTATAAATCTAGTGAAGGATCTAAAATTGATGACGCCGCTATCAGGCATATCTAATTTGGCTACGATGTTGGGGCTCATCCTAGTGTTTTACTATTTACTCGAAGATGACTTAGATTTTCACACGGATATGATGTATCTGAAAAATTTTGTTGACTTTCCTATATTTATTGGCACCGCGCTTTTTGCACTTGAAGCTGTTGGAGTAGTAAGTACTTCGGCCTACTGTTTTTCGATTTAAGTATCTTTGGCAATTAAGTATCGCAATGCATTAAAAGTAGCTGAACATTTTAAGAAAATTATTACTTTACAAGAATTTTAATGTATCTTTTGAACAGATATAGTCCTAATTTAAGGTCTGTTTTTTCTTTTAGTACGTATATACGTACGTATAAAACGTATAAACGATGATCTTATTTTGATGTTAATTCTAATTAAAATAGCAGATAGTTACATATTTTTGTTACTTTTCAAAAGTATTAATAATCACTTTACTTACAGGTATTGGCGTTAGAATACAATATGGAAAACCCTAAACAATTTGTCGGCATTTGTGGCCTTTTTAATATTGGTATAGCTGTGATTCTACTATTATACCTAATAGTAGGCTTATTTGGTTATATTAAGTATGGGTCCGCTATCAAAGCTTCTCTGACGTTAAACTTGCCACATGAACAAAAGTAATTATGTTTAAATTGACAATTCTTTCATAAATATATTATATTAATTTTCCAAAATATTTATAAGTTGCGTTTATTTGCAGGAAAGCGCAATCAGCTAAAGGTATATTTGCTGTAGCGATCTTTTTATCGATACCTCTCCAAAATTTTGTTGCGTACGAAATCTTGTGGAGGAAATTCAATCATAAAATATCGGGGAAAAAACGATGTTTAGCAGATTATGCTCTACGAGTCGTACTTGTCATAATTCCATGTGAGTGGTCTAGTTTGTATTAAGGAACACTTATAAGATGTCTGACCATTTACTATTATTATAATTGAGATGAATAGAATAATCCGTGCATTCCTTTGATTGCAGATCTCGCAGCTATAGCAATTCCCCGCTTGGGCCCTTTTATCTCTTTGATGGGAGCATTTTGTCTGTCTCTACTGGCTGTCGTATTCCCAGCTATAATGGATGTGTGCGTATGCTACGGTGAACCAAAACGTTACGGCCGGGCGAACATAAAACTAATACGCGATATGATTTTATTGGTAATTGGGTTATTTTGTATGTGCTCCGGGGTCTACACAAGTATTATAGAAATCGTAACTGGAGATGAAAATACCCATCCGAAACCAGATAATAACTCTATGCTATTTTAAAAATTTCAACTTACGATAAGTTTTTAATTTTGAAACATATATTAATGTTTTTTTTACAAGTTATTTATTCATCATAGATTATATAATATATGATTATTACTTTTTGTATTTTTTCTTAATTTTCAATTTTATTTAAATTAGCTAATTAATTTGACATTTATAACGCGAAATCGGCAAAATTAGAATTAACGTATTTAATAGAATTGCTGGTGTCGGAATAATTAAAATTGCACCATTCAATCTTACCCTTCAGTCAAAGTAGCTGTGGGCATGAATTATGACACCAAATGTTAATCTAGGAACGAAAAAAGATTTAAAAATGTGTATGGACTCTAATACTCACAGAACAATAAATACAGTAGAAGTGCTTAGAGCGCGAAACACGTGCGCGAAAAGTACGCACAGTTCCATATACTTGAACTCGGTTCGCCATGTTCGCTTTGTACATTACATGTTTTTGGTAACGGAATTTTCAGGCGGATTCTAGTTACAATTAGAAGCTTTTTTAAATTATTAGTTGTTGTTGTAAAGTATTGAGTAACCTAATAGCTATTTACTGAACTTTTAATTATATGACTTATTCACGCGATATGGAGACCGCAAAGACGTTAATAACTATCGCTCAATTTCAGTGTTACCCACCCTTTCTAAGATCCTCGAAAGATTAATCAATAATAGACTGATAAACTATATGGAAAGCAAAGGCCTGTTAATTGATAATCAGAACGAATTTCGTGTGGATAGGTCTTCTGCTCAAGCAGTATATGACTTTAGCAAAATGATTGTTCAAGACCTTGTCAACAACAGAAAGAAATATATGGCCATGTTCCTTCATTTAACGAAAGCCGTTAATACTGTGTTACACCGGATTCTGTTCTCCAAATTAGAATCACTTGGCTCACGTGGATATCAACTTTCTCTTTATCAACGTAATCTCAGCGGCAGAACACAACGTGTTATTATTGTAGATTATTAGACAGTGGATGACTACCCGGCAGCTATAGAGTTCCCAAATGTAGTACAATAGGACCCACCCTATTTTTAGTCTACGTTAATGGTTCGTTAATGATATTACGGAGTACATGACAAGGCGTTGGAACTTGTCTCGTCATATCTTAACAGTAGAATTCTGAAAGTAGACATAAATGGAGTGACTTCTTTGGGTTTTCCGGTAAAATAGGTGTTTTGCAGGGCTCAATACTTGACCTTTCTTATTTCTCATTTATTTAATGATCTACCATTCTTTGTTAAGGAATTTTACGAAATAGCATTGTTTGCTGACAAAACGTTAACTACGACAATATTAACGATACCCTCTCAAAGGTAGTTAATTAGTTTAATGCTAACAATTTATTGCTCGATGCCAAGAAAACAAAGTGTGTTAAATTTGAATTACATAATGTAAAGTCGACCTAGTGCGATCATAGAAATAAATGGAGAAAAATTAGACGTTGTTAATAAAGCTGCCATTTTGGGAGTGACTTTAGATAGTAAACTTCATTGGTTTCCACATATATTTACCTTAGCCAGCGGATTAAGCTCTGCTGCATACGCACTCCGTAGAATACGTGAGTTTTCCGATGTTGCTCTTACTGCTAGACTAGTTTAGTTACTTTCATAGTAAAATATCCTACGGGATTCTCCCGTGGACTAAAGCGGCAGAAATATAAACCATTTTTGTGTTGCAAAAACGAGTGATTCGTGCTGTGTGCCGTTTAGGTTCTCGAGTTTCGGGTTTCTCTCAGAGAAAAGTTTAAGAACACTGATTTTGTGACTGTGGCATCACAGTACATTTACTCAAATATATTGTGTGCCCGTAAAAATATACATATTTTCATTAAGAAAGAACCTTAGAACTAAGTCCAAACTCACGATACCACGGTTATTTCGTTTAACCAAACGAATACGATTCTTTTATGGGGAACTGTATACGTTTTTTTTACAATAAGATTCCGGAGAATATATTAAGATAACTGCCTCCCGAACCGTTATGACCGAACGGTTACCATGCCGGACTGCCATGCAGAGGTCCCAGATTCGATTCCCGGGCCGGGAGAAATATTTGTATGGCCTACATTTATATCTCTCGTCAGTTTGGGTGTAGTTCGTAATTGTCTATGTATGTGTGTGCCCATGGCACCCGCGACACAGGGTTTCCCTAGTGCGGGGCTATGTTGATTGTGTGTGCGTTATAATTATTATTATCATTTCCTAAGTTTAAAATGTACATTAAACTATTTTAATTGAAAAGTCATATTATTACAAAATTTAAGTTTCAGTAAGCTTAAGTTTGAGGAAAATGTAATTTTCCTTCACATCGTTATCTAACACATACATGTGTTAGATAAAGATGTATGGAAAAACAAGATGAGTCTAGATTCCACACAATTATGATTCAAAGTATATTCCAAAGCATTTAAGTTTATTTAAAGAGAGCAATTCCTAGAGTTTCTTGTTCGTCTCAAGGAGATCAGCGTAGTGAACAAGCAGTAACATAAAACATAACGTTTTCAGGTGTGAAAAATTTACCAATGGAATAAATGATTATTTGACTTTGACATTGTGCAATTTACCTATTCCTGTAGGTCACCTAACAGCCTGCGCAGACGTCACAGGTCTGGGGACCTTTTTTTTTTTTTGTTAATCCGGGGGAATCTGCTTACAGATACCCCGGCCCCGCGGGGGCAAAGCCGGGGTTATGTGGGACTGGGCTGAACCCTGAAGGGGAGCAGCCCGACCGCACTAAACCCCCGGAGTGTTCCTCCTCTCCGCTGTAGGTGGGGGTACGGGTACGCTGTTGCACTCGTCCGCGCCCCCACCAGCGGCTGGCCGCGCCCTGCGCAGCCCCTCCTCGAGAAGGGAGACACATCGGTCCCCCGACTCCGAATGTGAGGCTCGCCGAACACCAGACGAGCCTTCCATCCCGGACCCCTTTATGCTGGGCAACGAACTCCCCCGAGTCCGCTACCCAGGGGCCATGGGGGGCCAGGACAGCATCCACTCAACTGTGAAGTTCAGTGGCTGCTCCCCCAGCCCCCGCGGCGGATCTGATGACAGGCTCCGCCGCAACACCTAACGCGCTTCCGCGCGGACTCTCCGAAGAGAGTCCCTTGGAGCGCCCACGACGGGCCAACCGCCCACGTTCGGCCGCGGAGGATAGGACGAGCGGCAACGACACACCGACACGTCTCTTCCCCCGCGGTCCCGCCGCCACTGCATCATTCAAAGCGGTGCAGCCCCGCCAGGGTCGCGGAGGACAGGACGAGCGGCAACGACACACCGACACGTCTCTCCCCCCGCGACCCTCCTCCTCGCGCATCCGCGCGGTCCCGCTGACCAGACGAGCCCCGCGCGGAACGCCCTCCTCCTCGGGCCAGCTTACCACCATCGGCCGGCCCCGTGGGTTCCTCTTAGCTTCATCGTGGGATGAAATCGACCACGGCTACTAGAGCCCCCCCGCCACGACAAGGCGGGAACCCCTTCGGGGGGGAGGTCGGGGACCTACCACAACCTCTCAAAACAATATTACTATAACCGTACATTGACTTTTCGTACCATGACGCGCTTTAACTATGATGTTTTATTGGCAACTTTGTGACTATTTTATTCACTCAGTTCGTAAAATGACGCGACTTTACATTAAAGTAATATTGTTCTTATGTCAAATTTAGCAATCTTAAAATAGTTACACGGATAGAATGGAAACAATATTATTTTTGAATTTATTGTCTAAATGTTGATTTGTAATGATTAAAAGTTAAGTTGAACTTATTTATTTACATGTATCGCTTCAATATTTTGTTTATTTTTTAACTTAATAATGCATAGGAAATAATTTCTCGTTAAATAGAAATACGCGATGTTAATTTCGTAAAATTATAACAGCGCCATCTATATGCTCATTGGCGACACTAACAGTTGACATTAGACTATAATTTTATTCCGGATTCGCAACGTGACAATCAAGACTCCGCTAGTTTTATTCTTCATGAAAATGCGGAAAAATAATTGAAAACAACGTAATTTTTATATATTTCATAATTTCATCATTACATACATTTCTTTTTTTGGAAGTTAAAATTCTCTGATTTTATAGAGAATATATATATAATTATAATTATTATATATATATATATATATATATATATATGTATGTATGTATATACTCGTATATATAATTATCTGAGAATATAGATAATATTAAGTACTTTAACATTATACTACGTTAGGACGATTCGGAACATCAAAAAACAAAGAGATGGCATTATATATGTAGTTCATAGCGTTATTTCTTTCTTATTTTTAGTAAGGAATAGACAGTATTAGGAAATTATTCGTTGTTTCAGTTACTTTAGCAATGATACATTACTTGGTTGATAGGTTTGTCATGGTACGAATATGTAATGTAAATAAAATAAAATGTACGCAAATGTAATGTAAGTAATAATATAATAAGCTTACTATAAGCTTACATTGAAATAAAATTATTTTTTGAAAGGTTGTGGTAGGCCCCCTGTGCGTTTCTGGTAATACGCGGGTTGTGGTCTTTGCATCTGCTCATCTCGGGTTTGATGAGGTAGCAAAATGGTTGAAGTAAGTATAGTTTGCTCATTTTTAATATATGGAAAACATAATATATAACATTTTCTACAATTATTCGTCACCATCCAGATCCTAGCAAACAAAATATCACTAGAGTTCCCATTGTTATAAGACCCCATGTTCTTGCCCGCAGCTAGAGAAAACAAACGAAGTTTAATTAAGTTTAATAAGTTAAAAAATAAATTAAGAAAGTTTAATACTTGGGCATTATGTTAGTAACTTATAATTTAATATATATATTAATCTTCTAATCATTCGAGTACGCAAATTAATCTTCCCCTTTTAATATCCTGGCCATATCGCTAACCCTCCCGTTACTGTTGCCCAATCCATGACGAAGTCGAGACTAACCACAGTCTTGGTGTTGGTCTCGCGTCTGTACACCCGGTCTTGGTCTTGGTTTTGATATTG